GAATCTGATTTTCCCGGAATTTTATTTTGTGTGTAAATTTTTTGAAAATACCATCCAGGAGGTGGTATTCTAGGATTTCTATGGCAAGGGAAAATTTAATGCAACTAAACGTAGCATTAAGAAAATTAACCCAATATTCCAGAGAATATTTTAATCTACCAAATAACTTTTTGGTAACATTCCCAGAAAACTCAGCTTCCAATCATATTCTTGGAAATCGTGATTCCTGGATAAAAAAAAATTTCTCCTCTACCAAACGCTCCCCAAGGGTTGAAAATAACACATATAGGTGTGTTCATGACTTTTTCTCAAGCAATCTTTTGTTAGCAACCATTTCCTTCATTACTACATCGAATATACATCATCATCTCTTATTCAAATATCACTAAATACCTCATTTGTACCTATTTCATGATGAGGGCAGATTTGCACTCATAAGTATTTATCATCTTTTCATGATTTTCTTTTCTTTATTTCACTTTTTCCAATCCTAATTCACACCAATTATCAATGATTACATAGAAGGTATTATTTTCACTTTGGCCTTTCATTAAACACTTGGTCTACCCATTTTATTGTACATAGGCTGAATTATACATTAGAGATAGGTCATCCATTTTCTCAAATTTCAACATCCATTCTCAATAATTTTTCAACTACTACCAACAATAAGGCTCAATGAACAACTTCCACAACAAAACACACATTCAAACATCATTTACAAAACCTCCATGAAACCATAAAACATCAAGAAAAACCTAAATGGTATCTTGAATTTTAATCAACCAAATTCAAGTTTCATACCTTAAATGAGCTTACAAAGACCTAGAGACCACTTCCCATCATTCAAACCTTGAAAAACCTCCATTTTGTCACTGTGAATAGTAACAGGGGCGCATGGAGAGGAGGAGAAATCAGTCAAAAGGCAGCCCCATTTGATGATCTAAAACTAAGGTTACGTTGCTCACTTCCTAAGCTTTCTTTTTTGTGTAGAGAGATTAACCTAAAAGTGGCTAAAAATGGAACTTCGTGCTTGCCCTTCCTATAACACCTCATATTTTTAAATTATATATTAAAATATTAAATGAGAATTAAAGAGAAGGATTAGTGAAAATCCTGGAAATTAGGCTAAAATACAAAGAAAGGGTAAAACGGTAAATAGCCAAACACACAACCCTATGAAGGTAAAATTAAGTAGAAGGTCTCAAATGATGAAAATAATCCTGGAAATGGATTCAGAACGAAAAATTGAGTGGATAGGCAAGTTTCAGAAAATTCAGTGAATAGTATTTTTATCGGGTAAAAATATCGCGGTACGATTGCACCGTAAAACGTGCCGATTGAGTTTTGAGCTCTAGATTTTGAATACAAGTTATAAATGGTTTATAGAACTAGGAAATATGATTTCTGATGAAATTTGACAGAAATTAGTAAGTTTGGGGAGTGTGCCTACGGCGCGCGTAACAACTTAAAACAACATTTTCTCCGAACGACAGGAAAACTCAGGATTCATCTGATCAAGGATAATTAAAGGACAATAGTTAATGTTAAAAATTAGAGTTTCTAACTAGGTTGTGAATTATGGATGTTTAGTGGAATCAGAGGAAAATTCAAGTTAGTTTGAAATCGTGTGAGGTGGTGGTGGGGACCACCTCAATTAAGCCACTTAAGGCCACTTGTCATGACATTATTCACGATCACTTTCCTTCCCGTTCTCCCTTCAAAAAACCGTGACACCCCCCCCCCCCTTAGGTGGTGGTGGGGCCCACCTCACTTAAGCCACTTAAGGCCACTTGTCATGACACTATTCACGATCACTTTCCTTCCCGTTCTCCCTTCAAAAAACCGTGACAGCCCCCCCTGTCCATTGAGTTTTTGATTTCTTCTCTCCATAACTTCATCAAACCTTAACCAAATCAAGTGATTTTTGTGTTGAAATCTGTTGGAAACAACCTTCCAAACCTATAGGCTCGACTTTATAATTAAGAAGTAGCCTATATATCATTAATCTTGGTAATGTTAATAAAAAATGACAATGTGTATAAAGAATATCATTTCAGCTTGAGATATTAAGTTAGATCACATTAATGGTTTTATCAATTATGCACGTGTCCATTTTTTCGCTTTAGCTTATACTGATTTTAAACTTACTTATTTTATGGGCTTTTTCACCCTTTTGCCCCTCATTAATTATTTAATAATCATTTTACCCTTTATTCAGAACTATCTACCAATCTGCCCCTCTTTAATCGATTAAATCAAAAATTTAATCGATTAAATGATCAAAATAGGAAAAAATCGTTGACTTGAAGATTTAGTCGATTAAATCTCCCTATTTAATCGATTAAATCTCCCATACATAAGATTGTTATTCTAATAAAGAGGAAGATTTAATCGATTAAGTTGAAGATTTAATATTTGACCATTTAATCGATTAAATATTCAATTTAATCGATTAAAGATGGGTAGATTGGTAGTAATTTGCAATAAGGGGCAAAATAGTTATTAAATAATTAATGAGGGGCAAAAAAATGAAAAAGCCTATTTTATGTTACAAAAAAAAATTATTTTAATTTCATTAAAGAACGGGGTCAAGGGTGTTGAGATTTGAATTCGTGACTATTTGATCATGAGTTGTGATAAATATGAAGAATTATTTCATATTAATATATCTAACAAGGTGCATGGTCAAAGTAATCCAAATTACCATTGAAGTACCCAAATCATTCCAAAGTCGAAAAATAATGGACGGTCTGTGCAATAGCGCATGGTAATTGTCCAGTGACTCAAGTGCTTCCTTTGTTATGCTGTGATTCATTAAGAAATAGGTATGTATCAGTATTACTACACCGGACACTGACACCCACGCATTGTTGAGGTAGTTATCAAATTTTGGCAAGTGTTTGTCCCGGGACCACTTAGCTTCTTGTAGGAATGCTTTCAGCATATCAGACCACTACAATTGAATTGAAAAAACAATAAACAAAGCACATAATTAGACTTTACCTTGTAAAATAAAATATTATAACAATGAACTGAACTACATGTTAATTGATTTTAACATACTGCTTTGGTGAGGTAGGGAAGGATATCTTGTCCTTGCTTTTTAAGTGCGTCATAAGCGAATTCGTTGACAGTGTTGTACAGTGCTAGGAAACATATCTTCATGTACTCCGGCATACCTTGAACTGCTTTAACATCCCAACTGAAAGAAACACCTTTTTTCAATTAGTGCACTGATTAACAATCTCAGCAATACTCTATTTACTAATATAACTAATGAGTCTCCAAGAACAAGGCTATATTAATGAAAAAATACTTTACCTTTCTACAGCTACCGTGAAAAGCTCTAATTCATCCATGGTGCCATACACATCATAGACGTCATCGATTACAGTTATTAGGGAAGTCACTTTGGTTAAACCTTTGCGGAGATTACTGAACTGAGGCTCGAAAGATATCCCAACCGTCCAAAATAAGCACTCCGTTAGCCTATCTCGGCTGAAGCTTAATTTTGAGGCTAATCCCATCTCCTTCCACCACCTTCATTATTCATTATTATGTTACAATAAATATATGTGTGTGTGTGTTAACAGATATATTTTATTTAAAATTAAAAATTAATTAATTAATATAACTCAATAAACTACGATCGTTAGATGGATAAAAATCAAGAGTTGAAATAAAAAGCAAGATCTATTAATGTGAAATGAAGTCAAAAGATCCAACAAAAACAAATAAGAGTGATCGATGTCCCATTTTTTTATTTATTTTTTTGAAAACTTTTTTATCAGCGCTTATGATATTGATTAAAAAGAACTAAAACTAGATACCAAAAAAAAAAAAACAAACTAAAACTTTATATTTGAAGCGATACAGTTTTAATTTCAAAAAAAAAAAAATTAAAGATAAAAAATAATATTTTTCCAACAAAACAATATATATAAGAGTGATGATGTCCCATTTTTATTTTCTTTTTATTTGGTAAAATTGAAAAAAATAAAGTATATCAATACAAAAATATAATCACATCATTCCAATTATCTAGCATCAAGCAAAGTTGCACCAATTTAAAGCAGGGTCCAAACTCAACTTGAGAACGCGCCCCTATTCAGTTTTGATAACTTAAATCACTCAATTATCGTAGAATGGGTCAGGAACACCCTTAATTACCAGTGCGTGGAAAGCCATCTTTGTTTAAACTTAGTAGCTTTACCATATTTTATTGACTAAATACATGTGTACAACACTATACTTCACCCTCAACAATTACAGCATTAAGATTAAAATGTTATAATTATCCTATCAACTACTTAATTCTATATTAACGAACTTTGCTCATTTTTCAATTGGATTGAATTGCCAAGGTACACGTGTTTTTAACCACAATCAGATGTCATAACCTATAAACGTATGAAAGCACACCACGTATTCTTCGCATGAAATCATGTCAGAAAGAGTATTATAATAAAGTTAAAAAAAAAAGAAAAAAAAAAACCTGGCTTTACCAATAAAATTTGTTGAATTTCATTGGACAATTATGTACCAGATATCATTTATCTACCAGCTAAACAAAACCACGTGTACTTGTTTTATATGTGAAGCATGCTAGTGGAGCAAATTATGAGACAACCCCAAACCATCAAAGTTTTGTCTGGCCAACTTTAGCCACGTTCACACTGGATTTTCTGCTCACCTACCGTGGTTGTACCTCTCTAGAGAGAAGGTATTTTGTGTACATGAACCATGATAGCTCTTTCTCAAAATAGAAAAAGATGAGGAATGAAAGGAGAAAAAATCAAAAAAAAGAAGGATAGAAATGGAAGAAAATTTGTCATTTATGAAAAAAAGACCACGGGATAAGTAGTGGGTATGGAGCATATTAAATTTTTTCGTCTGTAGACTCAGTTATACAATAGTACACGCTAGAACCTGAAAAAGAAAGCACAAGCACTCTTAGCGTGTAACAAAATATAATATTTTGCCATTTGATACTATCTGAGTATGGTAACAATCTGGCAGGAAATTGATCATTATATGTTGAATATCCTAAAGCACAACCACCCCACTAGTGCTAATGTCAGGCCCCTTTTTGCCTTTACGTTTAGTATATAAACAAGGGGGTGCTGATCTATGCAATTCATATTAGTCAGTGATCAGTGTCAGCAAGAATGACGATGGGTTTCAAGGTTAGAGCTCTGCTTGTGACAGTGCTGATGCTTCTGATTTTGGAAACAGAGGCTGGTGGAGAATGTGGAAGGACCCCTATTGGGTCTGCAGCTGCTAGTCTAAGCCCATGCTTGGGTGCCACTCGCAATGTGAAGGCAAAGGTTCCACCAGCTTGTTGTGCTAGAGTTGTTGCTTTGCTCAGTACTGCTCCAAGATGCCTTTGTGCTGTTCTGTTGTCACCTCTTGCAAAGCAGGCCAATATTAATCCTGCCACTGCTATCACTATTCCAAAGAGATGCAACATCAGGAACCGACCTGCAGGAAAGAAATGTGGAAGTAAGTAACCATTTGCCGCTTCAACCACATAATTTTTATAAATATCTTCTATGCATTCAAATTCTTTCAGGAAGAATTTAGCATGTGTAAAATGAGAAGAAGCTTAGGGATAGTTAGACTAGGAGGAGGGTCACATATTTACGCATAAAAAAGCTTAAATGAATTTAGTCATTAAATTAGGCTAAACGATGCCAGTCCACATAATGAACATAGCTCATGCATTTCAGCATAATAACTATTAAATACATGAATGACAACCTCTAACGCATTTTCTATATTTAACACAAACAGAACGTGTGTGCAAATTTTACTAACTGATCAAACAAGGAAAACTGAAGAAAATACAAGTCTACTAATGTTTTGAAAATCATCAACTTTGGCATATAATAATAAAAAGGATGCGGATACAGAATTTCTGTTCTATAATTCTTCTTCTGATCAAATCTCTATGTATTTAGTAACCTTGCATCTTTCTCTTTGCAGGATACACCCTTCCTTGAAATCAAAACAAGAGAGTAATATGCAGTATTTACCAGATTAGGGAGCTAAATAATTGCCGTCAAATGGCATCTTCTACTGGGAGAGTGACCTGTTTAGGCTGTGGCATTCTGTATTGCTGAGTGTATTGTTGTTGCCCAGTTGGATGTCTTGCTCGTTATTATAAATATAATGATTACTGTTATCTGGTCCATTAGATTAACTTTTCACTACAAGACTTTGATTGTTAATAATTTTGCAAGTAAAAGCACAGCTCAGTACACGAGACTCAGGGTTGTAAGTTTTGGGGAGAGTTAAGTGAAGCAAAATTATTTTTTAAAATCTTTGGTAGGAACTTTGTATAATCTATATATAACTAGAAGAGAGAAGCTACTAGAGAACAAAAATACTGTTATTTAGATGACAATAGGTGATATTAAATCATTAAGAGGTTTGAACTCATGTATAGAACAGAAGAGATTAATAATCAGAATAGACTTACAGTATGTCAGATAATGAGACAGAATGATGAAGTATGTAGTATGATGAATTAAATTCGCGCCCATAGAATGTGTCTCCTTAAGACAATTTACCCCCTCACTGATACCAAAGGTTGATGGACAAGTGTCTCCCAGGATAGAATGGGTTGCGCCTGAGGAGTGGTGGCACTACCAGTCAACAGCCCAAACGAACACAACAATATGCAAGACGGATTACACTAGAGGATGGAAGGAAATATGCAAAACGGATGGAGGAAAAAATTCGGCAGAATAACAGTGAAGAAAATCGGATAAAATTTCTGAAGGGGTCAGGGCCTATTTATAGATATTGACCGGTCACAATGAACTGCCGCCGGCGGCGAACCGCCGTGACTGACGCCGTGAACAGGTACGACCGGGGACAGGTACGGTGAACAGGTACAACCGGTGACCGGTTCGCGAAAGGCAAGAACCAGTTCGGTTCAAAAAACCGGCAAGAAGAAACGTTTGGGTTTGAAGAAACTGGAGGGAAGCAACAGATAAGTACAGGGTTATTTTGGACAAAATATTAAAAATTAATTTTTTTACGAACTGAACCGATCCGATCCGATCCGAGCCGGACGGACGGATAGCAGCGTCGCGCGAGCGCGTATGTGTGGTGGACCTAAGCCCACCTAGCTCCTCTCCCCTCCACAAAAGTGTAGTGCCCCAAGGGGAATTTAGGAGTGTAAGGTAGGAGCTTATAAACTCTCTCACCTCTTGCTAGTTGTCCAATGTGAGACTTCTTAAAACCCACAAACCCCTTCAACTTTCTTATTTTCTTTTCTTCCTTAACCCACTTCGTATTCATAACCAATAGATTGTCTATTCAAATTCCAACAATCCCCCACATGGATAAGAAGTCAATTCATCGTGATTAAAATGCATAAAAATATAAATGCAAAGTGTAATTTTCTCAACGAGAAACAACTACATCGAGATATGTAGATTTACCTTTGAACATTCTTTAGTGAAACCTATCGGATATACTTGGTCAATCGATGGTCTAGGCGACTTGAACTGTCAACCTTTAGTGTATACCTAGACATTATGAGTCACACAATTGCTTCTCTAGCATTGTTGGTTCTTTGTTGCGCCCATTTTGGACGTGGGACCTACCTTGTTTTGCGAGTGTTTTTAGAGAATCAGCCTTTGAAAAATTCTCATAGAAACGACCCTCACTTCACACTCACATAGGTGATTTCTTGTGATGCAACTCACTATACATCATCTGAACACAACAAATTAAGAAATCATAAAAAGCCTAAATGCTTACCCTCATAAATATATTGTCTTGTCATAGGAATGAGTATGAGTTTAGAAACTCCACAGTGTTTTAACAGTCGAACATCACTTAGTTGTCTCTTTGAACCTAATTCGTGGGATCTCCACTCATCAAGGTAGAGTTATCACAATGATCAACAATTGATAGGCCTTAAACCCATTCCTTTTGACAAATTGTAATGATTCCACTCGAGAGTAGTTGTTTTACGGATCCGCTATGTTCTCTTTAGACTTAACATAGTCAATTGTAATGATTCCATTCGAGAGTAGCTGTCTTACGGTATCATGTCTACGACGTATATGTGTAGACTTACCATTATACATGACGTTCTTGACCCTTCCAATAGCTGCTTGGCTATCACAGTGTATGCATACCGCTGGTACCAGTTTTGGCCAATTAGGAACATCCTCAATAAAATTACGAAGCCATTCAGCTTCTTCACCGGCTTTATCTAAAGCAATAAATTCTGCTTCCATGGTTGACCTTGCAATGCAAGTCTGTTTGGATGATTTCCAAGACACAACACCCCCACCAAGGGCGAACACATATCCACTTGTGGATCTAGTGTCCTTAGAGCCGGTGATCCAATTTGCATCACAATACCCTTCTATAACTGCGGGGTATTTCTCGTCATGCAAAGCAATATTTTGAGTGTACTTCAAGTATCCCAAAATTCTTACCATAACTTTCTAATGATTTTCATTTGGAATACATGTAAAGCGACTTAACAGACTTACTGCATAGGCAATATCAAGTCTGGTGCAGTTCATAACATACATAAGACTTCCCAACACTTGAGTGTATAGCTATTATGTTGTAGCTTTACTAGTGTTCTTTAATAAACTAAGATTAGAATCTACGAGGTTCTTCACATGAGATATATTCAAACTTTTGAATTTCTCAAGAATTTTAGCTATGTAGTGAGCCTGTGATAAGGCCAACCATCCAGATGTTCTATGAATTTTAATAACTAGGATAACGCTTGCTATCCCAATATCTTTCATATCGAATTTACTTTTAAGCAATTGTTTTGTAGCTTTAATCATTTGATTATTGCTACCCATTATAAACATGTCGTCTACATAAAGACAGACAATGGAAAATCCTTTTCAGTATTCCGAACATAGACACATTTATCGTATTCATTAATTCGAAATCCATTTGATAACATAACTTTATCAAATTTCGCATGCCATTATTTTGGAGCTTGTTTTAACCCGTAAAGGGATTTTATTAAGCAACAAACTTTTCGTTCTTGTCTTGGGACAATGAAACCTTCAAGTTGTTCTAAATATATCTCTTCTTTTAGGTCGCCGTTTAAGAAGGCAGTCTTAACATCCAATTGATGTATTTCTAATCCATTCAATGCAGCTACCGCGATCAACATCCTAATGGATGTGATCCTTGTAACAGGTGAATAAGTATCGAAGTAGTCAAGACTTTCACGTTGCCTGTAGCCTTTTACCACAAGTCTAGCTTTATATTTATCAATAGTGCCATTTTCTTTCATTTTTCTTTTGAATACCCACTTACATCTTAAAGGCTTATTGCCAGGAGGAAGGTTTATCAATTCCCAAGTGTGGTTAGACAAGATAGACTCTATCTCACTATTGATAGCCTCTTACCAGAATGGTGCTTCCGGGGACATTAAAGCTTCCTTATACTTCAGAGGCTCGTTTTCTAACAGATACGTAATAAAATCAGGTCCAAAGGATGTGGCTGTCATTTGCCTCTTGCTACGTCTAGGTTCATCTTCTACATCCTCTACAGGATCAATATTAGTTGTAGCATCCCGAGGTATCACAATGTTATTATCATTATTACCACTTGATTCATGTACTTTGTTGTACGGAAATACGTCTTCAAAGAAAGTAACTTCTCTTGACTCAATAACCGTATTAACGTGTATATCTGAGACATCAGATTTATAAACCAGAAACCGATAGGCACTACTATTAAGTGCATAACCAATGAACACAATCCACAATTTTAGGTCCAATTTTAAACCTTTTAGGTTTAGGAACCGCAACCTTAGCCAAGCACCCCCATACTCTAAAGTATTTCAAGGATGTTTTCTTTCTTTTCCATACATCGTATGATTTACCCAAAATTCCACGATGGGTAATACTTTTAACCACACTTTATTGTCCACCTTGATTTACCCAAAATTCATTAGGTGCCAGCTTTCATTTACTCACTTTGAAAACCGCACCAAAAATGCACATTTCTTGGTGGCTTGGTCTATTGCCTATTGGCACTACTGTCTCATATATATAATAAAGCACTCGGCTTTTTTTGTTATTGTTGGAAATATCAGCTTTTTTTGTCCCTTTGCTTTGTCTCAAATTTATCTGTAGTTTGTTATTGTGTGCTTGGTTTTGTTAAATTATTGCCTTGTGAAGAATTGCTATTTTGGTCCTCTTTAATCAGGTGTACACATTATCAGTTTGCAGTTTTCTAAAGACACAAAATGCAAGTTTAATGAAGAACTTAATTAAAAAATTCAATTAAACTAAGATTTTTTTTTAAAAGTGTCTAAGTGTTATTTGAAGAGCTATTTAAGTCATATTTGGATTTATTATTGTTTTTAATTTTTTTTAAATAGAATTAATATAAGGAAATATTTAATAATATTAAAATATCTAAAAGTTTATTTTGAATTTTATCTCAAGGACAAACTCTTCAAACTTGATACTATGGCATAAATATAATGGTGACAGCGAAAGTGGAAATTCTAATATCAAGAATATTGGAGATAGTTTATATAATGACCCCAACTGGTGAATCTTAATTAGAGATTTAATTTAAGGATTTAAATGTCATAATTAGATTCAGATGATGATTTCGAGTATTTTGACTGTAATCATGACTAGGTCATGAACAGTGCATTCTGTCGGATATTCTGCATTGTTGTGAATCAACCTGTAGAGCTCAGAATGAGAAAAATGAGTTTAGAGACCTAGGGTCTGTTCGATTGTGTTTTGATTTTTTTGTTCTTAAAACTATTTTGTAGAATAATTATGGAAACAATTGTTTTCTGTGTTTTTTGTTTTGTTTTGAAAGTTAAAAACCAAAACAAAAAACAAAAACAACTCAGACATGTTCTCTAAATTTGATTCTAAAAACAAAAAAAATAGTTACAGTTTTTAAATTACTTTTTACAAAACAAGCCTTACCAAACGAGTTTTTTTGTTTTTTTGTTCTGAAAATTAGAAAACTGTTTTTAAAAACAGTAATCAAACAGAGCCCTAATTTGGCAATTCTGATGCTAAATATGAGTTCAGAACGAAAAGTTATATAGTCTGGCACTTTTCGTGAAAATTTCATGAATAGTATTTTTTCTGCCGGGTATTTTGTATCACTGTTTAAGCAATCTGTAGAGTCCAGAACAAAAAAAAAATTAATGAAAAAAAGTTCAGTAAAATAAAAATCTGTTCGTAGCTTTAAGTTAGTTCCGAGTAAATTTAAGTGAAATTAAATGAGAAGAAAACAACTGGTAGAAGATTACATAACATTATAAACTTAAGCTTTTCCTAAGTTCACTATTCATTGCAGCACCCACCTCGTCTCTCTCTCTCTCGTGGCAGCACCCTCCTCCATGGAAGCTTGGCTTCAAACTTTTCTTTCCTTGATTTCGTACTCAAATAATCATCAAAATATATGTTATATGTAACAGCCTGTTGTTAACCGGTATTGTTAACATTGAATATGATATTAAGCGCAATTACAATCACAGAAGTTATTTGAATTTACGGGAAAACTTTTTTCCTTTTTAACATCGTTTACACCATTAAAATAACTGTGATCATAACCCAACACTTTATGCGGAAACATTAATACCAGAGCCTAATACCATACACTTTTTTGTTTAAAGGTTGCTAAGTGGTTCCTATAAACCAACAAAGCTTAAAACTCGTTCTATCCATTTTTAACACTAAATGTCTTAATCATTTTATTTACTCCCACAATTTTAAACCTATCAAATGCTTCTCATTTCTTAGTATGTGATAGATTTTCTCTTTAGCTTCACGTGGCTTCGAATCGCGCTCAATTCGGAGTACCGTAGCCCAAGTTATGACATTTCAAAGAAATGGGTGCTGAAATAGCAGGACCCCCGCGCTGACAGCACCATTCCCACGCTGACAACGCCAACAAACAGTGACAACGGCGCCCACAGCACCATATTGGCGCCAACAGCGTCAAGGTACAGGGGCTATATGCCTAAAACATGAAATCTGACCTTCCTATGATTTTCTGCCCATAACTTGAGTTATATAACTCCAATTTAGAGAATCTTGGTCTCATTGGAAAGCTAAGAGAAAGATCTCTAACTTCCAAGGAGGTCAAGGGGTCCAATTCCTTCATATGGGAGACGAAAATTAGGCATCACTTTGTTTGTATTTCCAACAGTTCCCGAAAATTTGCCAGAGTTCCCTTTGTTTTTACAAAAGTCCCCAATTTTGCCAACAAATCCTAATACCTCAAGGTGCATAAAATCACATGGGTGGCACACACAATGACCAACAATGCCTTGGGGCACTTACAACCCATCACAGTTTATCTTACATATACAATACTAATTAGGTTTCAACCATCAAGTTTAATTACATGCATTTGTTAATCGTACCTATATAATCAATTCTACAATAGGCCTAAAGCCCTTCCTTCATATTATACATGCTTCAAATACATCATAGGTGGCTATGGAAAAATCTCATGCTCACACAGAATATACATATAAATCCAAGGCATAGTTATACATCCATTTTTTGAAAGACTTACATATAGTCATGAATATACAAAAGCATGGCAATATCAACATGCACAAGCTCATAACCTAAATCCAAAGTATTAAACACCATACTAGGTGTATTCGATAAAATCCTTGAACATGCTATGCCCTCCATGTGCACCTCATGCTCCTCTCCTCCAGGCTCAACCTAACCTGAAATGATATCCCCAAACGCGGGGTGAGATATACAAATATATCTCAGTAAACCAAGGGTACTAGAGGATCACTCCACCCCATGGCTCACTCAATGTGCAACAAATAACATAGTATGAAATGCATGGCATACAATATCACAAACAACTGGGGGCAAATCCAAAAACATCCACATCAGGATTCCGTTCAAGGACCCCATCATATAACTCCCAGAATCTTCCTGGTGCCTCTCCCATGGTTGAGACGACCCCATGGCAAAACCCAACTGGAACTCCTCATGAGCCCTATCCAGCGGAAGTCCCACGTTTGGATCATCCTGGTACCACTCCCCGAGTCGGCCCCTTGGGAACAACCCGACCGGAATCCCCAAAGGATATCTCCAGCGGAAGTCCAAACCAACACACATCTACTGGCCAGAGATCAAACAATTCACACACAACATGATCCAAGCATGTCACACAATCAAGCAATAATGCATGAACATACATATTCACACAATGTTCAAAGACACAAAATCTAACCACAACCTTCCACTAGGTGTGGTGGAGCACACAAGGGACTAAACCCAAGTTCCAAAGGTTTACCTCAACTCTGAAGCCAATGCTCCACAACGTAAGCTCCAAGCTTAATTCTCCTCTATAGAGTCCGAGAAAGGAAACCTATAATGATCAAACAACATGATCATCAATCCAATTTCAAGACAACCAATTTACTTTCAAAATACTCATACACAAACTCATTCACTTAGGCCAAAGGGTTATTTACACTTATTTTTCCTTATACCTCATTATAGGTCAATTTACTACATACTCAATACATCCAACATTCTTCCTTCCAATTCCACAACAACATACCAACCTACTATCCATTTAAACACCACTTACAATCATACAACCTCAACTACACAACTTTTACATCATTTTTCCTCCAAACCCTTTATGGTTCGAATTCTTCAAGGGGTGGTACTCCAAGGTTTTCAATTCAATTTAACACTTATACTCATCATATAATCCTTTTATAACATCATACAACAACCCACATCACAATCCTTACACAATTCAACTTTCACAATTTAATGGCATCATCCAAAAACTTCCTAAGTTATCATAGGTTTCACCAATAATTTTTATTGCATTTTTAGGTCCAACACATCATTCTAAGACATAATCATCTAATGCACATTTTCCATTTGAGCTCTCTAACTACACAAATCATCCAATTTCATTCTAGGGCACAAAACATAAATCTCATGAATCAATCTATGGAAATGTAAGGAAACTTACTCAAAAGGTGGGTATAAGGCTCCTCCACATCATATCCAACCATTGGAGCATCAATCACCACCAAGAACACAAATCTAAGGAAGAGGGCCGCGATTTTGGGGAGGGGATTTCTCAAAATATGATGGGTTTCAAGGCTTGCCACTAGTGCCAATGTGTTTAGAAGGCTATTTCCATCAAGTTTCAACACAAACTTTGCTAGATTTGGTGGAGAAATGAGGAAGTTACAAGAAAATGGAATTTTTCCAAGCTTTTGGCCATGGAGGGCTGTTGCTCACGGGAGAAGAAGGAGGGAAGGAGAGAGAGTGTGAGAAAAATGTGACTTTTAAGTCACTTAAGTCACATGTGGGTCCCACACGCGTTTTAACTTTAATCAATCACCTAATTTCGACCACAATTTCATAACCTACGTATTTTTCTGGTTCATGACATATTTTTGTTTTCTAAAAATACTGATAAAAATTTCACGCTTATCGGTACAATTATACCGCAGTATTTTTACACTGGGAAAATCATTATTCATCAAAATTTTCAAAACTTGCCTATGCACTCGATTTTTCGTCCTGAATCTATTTCCGGCATTATTTTTATCATTTGAGATCTCCTACTCAATTTTTCATGCCTCGGGTTACGTGTTTGGTAATTTACCGTTTTGCCATTTTCACACAATTTGGCCTTAATTTCCAGATTTTCACTAGTCCTTCCCTTTTAACCCACAATATAGCATATAATTTCATATTTAAATTTACGAGGTGTTATATTATACATGAAATTTTAAGTAGAAATCGTTGTGAATCTATTCCACCCATTTGTTTGGGCTAAAAAGGCTTGTGTGAAGAGCTCTCTTCTTCTAAAAATTCGGTCATTATTCATCCTAGAGAGAGAAGTGGATTTTTGGGTGGAACCAAGCTTGGGCTTTGTTCTTCAAGCCTTGTTTGTAAGGGGTTTAAAGCCTTAATCCTGGACCCACCCCGAATCAGATTAGTTGCGAAGCAATGAACCGATTGGAATATTTCTAAAAAAATAAATAGATTCTCATTCCAATGGTTTGAATGTTATGATTTAAGTTTTAAATATTATGAGCACTTTTTGTGGAATATTATTGAGTTGGAAAATTGGAATTTATGATGGGCTAGTGTTGTTAATGAAGTTAGGATGTGAAATAAGCATGACCATGTGTTTAAAGTTTGAAAAATTCCCTTGAATCCCTCCCACTAGGTTCAGTCGTGGTGTGAAAAATTAGGGTTTAATGTTCAAAAAAAATAATTGGACACTTTGTGAAGGTTTATATGTATATGTAAGTTGTGAATTAAGTGGATTAATTGAAAGACGCTTAGTGGTGTCTTATGTTTTGAGGCATAAATGGATGAATTAATGTGTAAAAAGGGTTTTATTACCTAATGATGATTATGGTTATATGATAAGCTTGAATTTGATGGACTAAAGCATTGGAATCATGAAATTGGCATGATTTCCTTTATGTGCCTCTTAGCCATTTACAAAGGAAGTATGTTTTTAGAGTGTTTGTTTGTGCTAATGAGTACTTATACGACCTAAGGACTATATGATTAGATGTTTAAACCTTTGTTTGGGTTAGATAAAAAGAAAAATGAGTAAGTTCCTTTTTTAGGCCTTATATGTGAGTATGACCATTTTCAAAGGAGATATGTGCTAGGAGTTACTGTTTTGCAAAGCGAGCAAACTTTTAAGCGTGGAATAATATTCTAAGGTGTATGAACCTTCGCTTTGGTGAAATAAAAAAATTAAGGTAGCTCCTTTGTATGACCTTAAAATGAGTTTTGGCTATTTTCAAAAGAGGTATACGTTTGGAGTTACTGTTTCGCCAAGTGAGAACACTTTTATGCGTAAAATAATTTATATAGGTGGCTAAGCTTAGGTTTAGGCACTAGACAAAGAGAAATCTTATAGCTTCTTTGTAATGGGCACTCTGCCTTAAATTGGGAAAAATAGGCTTTTAGGTGCTAAGAGGAGTAATGAGTGTTCTAAAGGCCTTTTAAGACTATCCTAAGACTAAGTGATTAAGTGAATGTGTGGAATTTTATGGGGATTTTTTGAACAAAGAACCACCCCCTCATGGCCTAATATGATTAAGTAAAAAGAAAATTGGTTATGACTTGTGAATTGGCATATGTTTGGCATAAGTATGAAGAAATGAAAGTAAGCAATAAAATGTATGCCTTATGTAAATTACATGGAATTGTATCATTTTGTTGATTTTTGTTTTGGATTCCTCTTCTAGGTGTGCCTATGGACTGTGAATGTTTGGATTCTCATAGAGACAGATAAGTAGCTTGTTCTTCAAGTAAGAAAATTGTGAAGCTCCAAGATATAAGCTCTATGTTTAAGGAGTCTTTTTCTCCTTGAGTATTCCACCATGGTTAGTGAACTATAGTTGGATTGTATGATTGTATCTGATGCTTTGTATAGATGTATTCATATAGAGCTATTTGATAACATGATATGATTTATTCTGATGTGATTTCTGTATTGATCTTTGGTCATTGATTGTTTGTACACTGATGTCTGCTTGGGGTCCTCCCTCGAGACTGACTGTGTACACCTCTGATATGTTCTGGTTCCGCTTGGGGTCCTCCCTTGAGAATGACTGTGTACGCCTCTGATAAGATATGTATATATGTTTTGTTCTGTTATGATATATGTTATATGATGCTTTGTATACTCTGTATCTGACTCTCATGCAAGAGTGGGCCCAGGGGTATGGAGAATTCTCTATAAACCTGGAGCTTATTGAGATTTGTTATCTCACCCTGTTTGGGGACATCATTTCAGGTGCATAGATTGCCGGTGATCCTACACGGGGAAGGGATACGACCCGTGGATAGAGTGTATTGCGGACCAGATTCTTAGGCAGCAGTCTGCTATCATTATTTTGGAGGATTGTGATTTGCATTAGTATTTTGTTTATTTTGGTGGATCTTGATGTCTGATCTGTTACTTTGCATATGGCCTGTATATGTTTTGTACATGTTTTCCACTTTGATGTATGTACAATTATATATTCAGACATGTTTATATTAGGATGTAGTATTCAGTTATATGATTACATGTTGGATATGCATGCTGTTAGATATAGTGGCACAGAGCCAAGTTATGCATGTGCCCATGGTTGGGTATATGGTCCTATATGGATATCTGGTATTTATGAAATCATATATTGTATAAATTGTTTATCAGGATACCTTAAGAGTGGGATTTGCAAATTCCCGTTTGTCCGATTTACGGACGTCACTCTATTCGATTTTCGTCTCCGTCAAATAAGAATTAAACTAGAGGAAGTATGCAATGAGATATATCATGTGAAAAAGGATTAAAGAAAAAGAAAAAGTTAGCTCATATTTTCGTAAGTTAAGTCTTCCGTTGTTTCTATTTAGTATCATATGTATGTTAACTGAACCGGCTCGAGTCGGGGATGTTACAATTTATTATATTGAAGTGAGTGTAGATACTTTATAAAAATATATTAAATAAAAAAAACTAAAATAATTTTTCAATTTTTTATTCTACAAATGAATTTATAAAACAATGAAATAAAAAAGTTCCCTAGAAGACTATTCCAAAGATATAATATGCGTTTTTTATGCGGTTTCCAAAGTGGCGAATTACAAAATTATATTATAATCAGTAAATTATTTAAGATTTTAGAAAGTTGGCACCAACTAAACTTTGGGTAAATCAAGGTGGAAAATGAAGTGTGGTTAAGAGTACCCATCGTGGAATGGGTGTGGTGGCAGATTTGCACTTAGTTCGCTAGATGGAGTAGCGAACTTGTGCTATTTTTTTGTCTAGTTCACTTGCCCGTGCAACGAACTTGCAGGGAGCTGCCACATGGCATACCTAGTTCGCTGGAATGGGCAACGAACTTGTCCACATATCCTGCCAATTTGTCAGAGCCCAGGGACATTTATTGTTACCTAGTTCGCTACACCCAGTAGCGAACTTGTTGTCCACCAGAAACACGTCACATCAACAAACCAAGTCCGCTGCCTACTGTAACGAATTTGGACGCGTGGTATATTGAAAAATAACACTGTTTGCGTGATAGTTAGGTAAATAACTTGATGAACAATGACATTTTGGTCACTGTTCCGCAATTAGACTATAGGAATCAAAAGGTCATCAGAAATTGTGAAGTGAAAAGGGCGATACTCTTATTTTTTGCTGAGACGCAGCGAAATCGACATCGTCTGACAAATCGTGAAACTCTAATTCTAGCATTTGGTGAGACGTTTGTTGAAGATGAAAAAGAAAAAGAAATAATTAAAAAGAAAAAATAGAATGAAATGATGTAGTTTCACTTAAAAGGATATAGTGTTTATTACCAAACAAAAAAAATGATATACTGTTTTGTCATTTAAGATTACCCTTCTTCTTTTTTATCATTTATCACGTGTTTTTTTTTTTTTTATCTCTTTCTTCCTTCCTGGTTTTTGTACAGTTTACAGGGTAAAATAAGGAGATTAACCCAATTTATAACTGTGTTAAAATGGAGTTGGACAAAAAAAAAATTGGAAAATAGCTGTTAAAAATATAGTGAAAAATTATAAAAATGTAAAACACGAGAATTTTTTTTTCTAACTTATGTCATTAAACTAAGCTGTAATAAAAAAAAAAAGACTGATATTGAAAACTCAATTTAAGATTGAGTTCTAAATGTAATAAATTATTAATTAATAAGGATATTATTAATAAAACTTAAAATAAAATATTTAATAAATGAAATATGATGCGATGATCTGGGTTCGTTCTCTGACGGCTCTGGTGGACTGGACCTGATAGTCACGGTCTAATGGTAATGGGTGCATCAACATAGAACGCAACTCGACCCGGCTCACTTGTCACAATGCACCTAAACAAACATGAGATTACCATCTTCAATGGAAACGGCATCATCTGCACTAGCAAACCCTTCTCATAAAGCTTTCAGGCACATCAAGCAACAAAAACCCTCCAAGCTGGGTCCCTGTAGAGCACTGAATCGAACACTTCCTCGCCAAACTCCATCTTCTTCTAAAGGTAAGCCTTCAGCATCAAAGGCCTTTAATTCTGCACCCATTGATCATCTATATATTTCACAACTACTGTCAAGAACTGATTGGGTCTTGTTGCTAAAACATGAGCTATGTTCCAAGAGGTTAATGCTTAATCCTCGTTCTGTTGCAAGTATTTTTCAAAACCAAGAAAACCCATTACACTCTATCAAGTTTTACACATGGGTTTCGAGTATCAACCCTTCATTGGCAAAGGATCAGTCAGTTCAACGTGTTTTAGGGAACACCTTGTATAGGAAAGGTCCTGTGGTATTGTCTGTTGAGTTGCTTCACGATTTTCAGAAATTGGGTTTTCAGGTTACTGAGGACTTGCTTTGTGTGTTGATGGGAAGTTGGGGAAAGCTGGGTTTGGCAAAACATTGTGCGGATGTTTTTGGGCAAATCTCATTCTTGAGTCTTAGTCCAAACACCAGGTTGTATAATGCTCTTATTGATGCATTGGTAAAATCAAATTCAATTGACCTCGCATATCTGAAATTCCAACAAATGACGGTGGATAGTTGTTTTCCTGATAGAATGACATACAATATCCTTATTCATGGAGTTTGCAAAATAGGTGTGGTGGATGAGGCTCTTCGCTTAATCAGACAAATGAAGGAAAAGGGACATTTTCCTAATGTTTTCACGTATACAATCCTAATCGATGGGTTTTGTAATGCAAAGAGGGTTGATGAAGCCTTCGAAGTTTTAGACACAATGAAGGAAAGTAGAATATATCCTAACGAAGCCACTGTCAGAACATTAGTTCATGGAATTTTCCGTTGCATAGATCCAAGTAAAGCACTCGAGTTATTATCCAAATTTTTAGATAGGGAGCCCATCCATTTGAAGTTAGCTTGTGATACCATACTCTATTGCCTAACAAATAATTCTATGGCAAAAGAGATAATTATGTTTCTGAGAAAAGCCCTAGCAAGATGTTATGTCCCTGACAATTCCATTTTCAATGTCATAATGGCTTGTTTGGTTAAGGAAGCAGAGCTGAATGAGACATGTGAGATATTTGAAATTTTCAGAAAGCAAGGTGTGCAGCCAAGCCTTGGTACTTATCTTGCACTTATTGAAGCCTCATTCAAGGGTGAACGGAGAGAGGAAGGGGATCGAATTTCCGATCAAATGATTAGGGATGGACTAATTTCAAATGTCTTTTCATATAACATGGTAATTAATTGCTTCTGCAGAGCTAAATTGATGGACAGAGCATCTGAGGTTTTCAGAGACATTCAGCTTAGAGGCTTCAATCCCAGCCTTGTTACTTTCAATACCCTTATTAATGGCTATTGCAAGGATGGAGCAATAGTCAAGGCACGAGAGCTGCTGGAGATGCTTTTAGGAAATGGACTTAAACCTGATATCTTCACTTTTAGTTCTATAATTGATGGACTCTGTCGAATGAAGAGGACTGAGGAAGCTTTTGAATGCTTTACTGAGATGATTGAGTGGGGCATCAATCCAAATGCTATCATTTACAATATATTGATTCGATCTTTATGTGCCATTGGGGATGTTGCAAGATCAGTGAAACTTTTAAGAAGAATGCAACAGGAAGGAATAAGCCCTGACACATACACATATAATGCTTTGATTCAAACTTTCTGTAGGATAAACAAGGTTGAGAAAGCTAAAAAGCTTTTTGATTCAATGTCAAGATCTGGCTTGAATCCTGACAATTACACGTACGGTGCTTTTATAGAGGCACTGTCTGAATCTGGGAGATTAGAGGAAGCCAAGAAGATGTTTTACTCAATGGAGACAAGTGGTTGCTCTCCTGATTCATATATATGTAACTTAATTGTTAAAACATTGCTCCAGCAAGACCGTGTTGAAGAGGCCCAAAATATCGTAAAAAGATGTTGTCAGAAGGGAATATTTTTTGAATTTTATTCCTAATCTGTAGACTGATTTTCTACTAATTTGTGTGGTGTTGCTGCATTATTGAGATTTCTGCAATGAAGACATTGATACAGTATACTGGTACCTTAGATAATTAAGATGTGTTGATATAGCACCGATATCGACACGGGACACGTGATACGATACGACACGACACTCTGACACGTTAATTCTAAAAACTGTTAGATTTCGACACGTTAGGACACGTTTTGATATTAAATAATATTTTTAATTTATGTAGTGTATATTATATTTAATTATCAATAATTTAACAAAAAAATGAATCTAAACTTATAATATTCATAAATTTTGTAAAAAAACATAAGATATCTCAAATATTTATATTAAACTCAATAAAATAGTAATCGCAATCCAATGAATCTAATAGTTGGAACTAAAAACTCAACGCAACGCAACTTTTGAACCTTTTTTTGAATTTTATAAAGCGTGTTGGAGTGTCGGAAAGTGTCGGAATGTGTCGGAGTGTCCGAGAGTGTCGGGAAGTGTCGGACACGACACGTCAGGATTTTTGAAGTGTCGGTGCTTCATAGGTTGGATATATAAATTAGTCATGCACATGTATTTACTTTGGCCATTTTTTAAAATAAATAAATAAAATGTTACAACCAAAAAAACTATCATCTTAAAAGGACTCCTCTCTTCCTCATGTGAGTAATAAGCATTTATCTCTCGAAAACTAAAAAATTTGTAGATCATCAACTATCTACTGCAAAAAAAAGGTAGAATTATCCCCATTAATTTTCTTATCAATGTAATTTACCCTTTTAACTACCGAAATCTGTCATTAACTTTAACTGCTCTTTACAAAAGAGTAACCAAGGGCTATAGCGATCATGCTATATTTGCAGAATCTATCAAATCTATTTTATGGATCTATAATAGACAATCTTATCTTGAATTTACAGAAGACTGATTACATAAATTTACATAATCTTTTTATATATATATATATATATATATATATATATATATATATATATATATAAATCACATAAGTCACTACTCAAAATTTAATGAATAACTTCATATTTAAAAGATATAAGTCACGTAACTATATAAGACATAAGTTGAAAAATACAAAAAGAGAAAATTGAGTTTAAAAAAAATGAAAAATAGGGTATTTTTTAAAGAAAAAAATTAGGTTTAAATAAATACGTAAAAACTTACGTTTCTACCACTTTTACATTTCTACGCGACGTTTTTATCCATTTTTACTAAGAATCGTTTTTACTTGCGTTTTAACACGTTTTTACACCATGTTTCTACTATTTCTATTTTAGACTACTTTTTGACAACAATAATTAAGACATCATTATTTATATTATAGGAATAAATTACACAAATAAACGGCTTAAATAGTCACTCAACTCGGGTAACTGTCGTCCAAGAAAATGGTGCTAAAACTAAGATCTAACCTTCCCCAGTTTTTTGCCCTGTCAATCTAAGTTCTTTAAGTAAATTACTAATACAAAAACCAAAATGCAGGAAAAGACAAGTATTCGATAGTATATGTTATCATAAAATAAATATTCATAATTTAGCGTGGCTTAATAAAATAGTGTCTTTAATATTATAAAAAGAGAGGATCTTGTAACTATTTAAAAATAAAATAAACGACATGTTTGATACATAATATAGGATAAGACCTGATAATATATGACCTAATAATATAAGACATAATTGTATAAGACCTAATTAAATTTTAATACAATCCAGTGTTTGGCATAATATTGTATACGAAAATATATTGTATAAGATAATATCATCCAATGTTTGATAATACACTGTATAATACTAGATAGGTTAAAAATAAATATTATCAAAAATACTTTTAATAATAAATTTACATAATTTTTTCAAATATATCAGATGATATTATTTTTTATAGAAATATGTTGATCAGTGTGTCCAAAAAATATATTAATTTTTACAAAAATAAAAACCTTCAATATTTTAAAAAATCATATACTAATATTAAAATAATATATTAATTCTTGAGAATTGCATTGGTTAATACATCAACTGTTAGTATATGGATGTCCTAGAGACAATCTTTTGATTAGATTAGGACATAAGTGGACTTTGAATTGTCGCAAATAAATAAAAGCATTTTTTATCCTGTTTCATATTTTGTCTCGATATTACTGTTAATATTATATATAAGTAACTGGATAAACCCCTTGGAATAAAATAGGTATCTCTTAAGTATCTGTGATGAGATCACGATCATGAGGATTCAAGGATACTGGATGTTTATTCCTAATTTTATGTTCCTAGTCTAGAGACACTGAGAATGGGGATCAGTGATCTCGAGTAAGACTAGCACGACTTATCTACTTGTATTCGGATGCAAGGTAAAGACCTCGTGAGCTACAGATATGGAGATGTCTTAGCTAAAGTCGTGGGTGGACCTATAAGGGTATAGCTCGCACTGAACAGACCCACAAAGAGACTCTATGAGGAACTCTCACAGAGAGTATCATTAGAGTAGTCTCTTTATATTTGGGTATGTCTTTCCTAAGACCAGAAGTTATTACCTAAATTGTGTTCTAGAAGGCATGCTTTGATTGTGCACCTCGTCTGCCTGAAACATGGAGACTCATAGGTATACTGTTGGGCTTGTCCTGAAAGAACACAGGGCTAGGGTGATAAGCTGAAGGAATTCGTCAAATCTCTGTGAGAGATTAGGTTATCTGTAAACCGGAGAAATCGGGATGACATTTACAGGGACTCGAGAATCTATGCATAGTAAAAGAGATCATGAGATTGATCTGCCTTTAGAGTCTGTAAATTGAAGATTCCCTATTTCGAATAAAGCTTACCCTAAACCACAGGGGTTGATACGCTTCCTTACCCTAGGTTTTATGGGAAGGTAACCGAGACGAAAGGAAATATATACGGCAACCAAATATGTGTAATAGGATGATCAATTCATTAATCTAACTAGTTCTGGGGCAACAAAGCATTGCTAGTGCTCTGTGTTGTCATTAGATGTGTTGTGGACTTATTGGGCCCAAGCCCATTTATGTCAGTGGCTATGTTGGACCTAATGGGTCACACACTAACACCTAATTGTCTAGATGCTCTAGCATTAAAGGTATTGGGCCTAACAATTGTTATTAGCCCAAGAAGTAGTTTGGAACTCCACAGATAGGGTGGAGGGCGCATGGATCAAATAATGGGCTTGGATAGTTCAAGACATTACTAATTAATTTAATTAGTTAAATTAATTATCAAATGTTTAAATTTTGATTTTGAATTTTGAATTTTGAAATTTGAATTTTGAATTTGAATTTTGAAATTCGAATTTTGAATTTTGAATTTGAATTTGAAATTTGAATTTTGAAATTTGAATTTTGAATTTTGAATTTGAATTTTGAATTTTGAATTTTAAAATTTGAATTTGAATTTAGAATTTGAATTTGAATTTAAAATTTAAGTGTTTGAAAGTTTGAATTCAAATGTTTGAAATTCGAATTTGAATTGGCTATGAAAAGTTGTTTCATAACAAAAGGATAAGATGAGATCTTGTTGGAACATATCAAGAGGAAATCTTTTGGACATAATCTAAGAAGATTTGGGGCGCTGATTTGGCTGTTGGTTAGTCATCAGAATCAGCTCCAGAAGATACGATCTGTTGGGAGAATATTTGAGTGATTTGATTCAAGTTTGAATGCAACTACTCAAATGTATCTGGTCATTATTTAGGCTATATGGGGCGCACCATATAGCTGATTATATGATGATTTATGATCACATATTTGATTAGGCTTTGAACCTAATATCATAAAGATATGATAGGATGTTGTTGGCAAGATTTGATAAGATTTGATTTGCAACAAATCCTCTTATTTCTCCTTGTTGGTGCGCCCTTTTGAAGGGATTTTGAGGATTAAAAATCTGATTGCATCATGACTCTCTTGATCACTTCTTGTGCGCCTAATAGCATATAAGTTCCTCCTAGGGTTTTGTGAAAAGCCTAAGTCATTCTCTCCTTATTCCTGCGCCACTTTTGTGAGGTTTTCTCTCTGAAAACTTTTACATAGTCTCCTTTCATCACTCATTGAGCGCATAGCAAGCCTTATTGTGGTGATCAATTGGCGGCTTTACTGGAAGGAGTTCCTGTATCTAGACGCGGGTGGTGTGGATCAACGTTAGAGGGTCTGAACCCTTCAGACCTACCTTGATCATCTTGAGTTTTCACGAACAAGGTATGACATACGTCTTAAAGTATGTATCTTGACATGCATGTGTATTCCGCTTGCGAAAAAAATTTTGTTTTTCCCTCTCACATGCTACGGCCTTCAAGGCCAATTCTACTTTCAAGTGGTATCAGAGCCCGGTTGCTTTACCATAGACGGGTGATGGTACCTTGTTTGTGATCATATTTTTCACGGTTAAAATTTCTTTAAAAGTTAAAGATTCAATTTTTACGTATGGATTTCAATTTACAATACTTTAAACAGTTAAAGTTTTCGTTTTTATGAACATGTTATTTCGAATGCTATGTTCATGAATCCATATGTATACATGGTTGTCTTTAACTTTGTGAAAGTTTTAAAAAGGAAACACATTTTTGATGGGTGGAGTTCGACCTGAAAGGTGTTTTGAACACCTTGATTGTTTTCTTATTTTTCTCCATGAATTGTTTCATGTGCATAACATTAAATTTTTCGAAAATTTATATCATATACACAAGGTATATGGTTCGGCCATTAACATGTTAATGGCTACATGATTGGTTTAATTTTGTGTTCTTTGAGAAAGAGTCAACAAAATTTGAATTATAATAAATCGTTATATAATTCGGCCAATTGAAGAATTAAGAAAAAGTTTTGAATTTTAATTATGTTTTAATATTTAATTGTTAAATATCAAGACATACGTGAAAAATATATTATATGATAATATTTTTGTACTTGTGAGTTGTCTAACATTTCAGGTGCAAATGAGGAAGGGGATGGTCATGGTTAGGGGTGTAAATGGGCTGGGCTAGGCTTTGGCCATCCTG